GGTAACGGAGTCTGCATGACGTGTGTGTGATAGAGCCCGCAAAGAAAATGGGAGGATAAGAATCATCCGTGAGAGCATCTTCACTACAGAGAAACAGAAACATCCTCTGTCACAACTTTGAGGCCAAACACAAATTAAGTCTTAACCAAACAAACTCCCCCAAAGTCACTGCGCGTTTTAAGGGTTTTAGTCGCCGTTTTTAGCTGAAACGTACAGTCTGAGTGTGTTTCTGAATGGCAGCCAAGTTTTGATAGAGGAGAGCCGACTGACTCCCCCACAAAGTTGACTCCCTCGTGCCTCAGTCGCCTTCCAAACTCTGTCTCTACCTCCCATCTGCCCTCATTCTTCCTCGGCCTCACGCTCTCTTTGTCTGACCAACCCTTCCTTTCTTTCTTTCACTCTTGCATTGTCTCGATTTTTTGGTGGTGTTGTTCCATCAATAACAAAAACTCACATTTTGCTGCTCTCTCTTGGCTCCTGTGAGGCATGAGTAATAACTGTGGTGGGCACCATTTAATGATCAGTAAAACTATATACTAGACCCACAAAAGTCTCCTAATAATGACTCGGCTGTACACAGTCTGCAGTGTTACCTCAGAATTGGCATCAAATAGGTACCCAGAAAGCTTTGACCAGATACACTGCAAAGAAAACACCAGCTCTTTTGCTCATTACGTCTTTCTGGATGAACAGCGTTACTTCTGTAATCTGGTGCAGGCTGCACCATAGCAAACGAAAGGTTTGGAGGTTTTTAAAAGCATGCCTCAATTTCCTGTGGTTTAATCTCTAAACGCCCTTTTCTGATCATCAATCTTCCATTTTTAGACCGTTTTGTAACCACTCTCTTTACTGCACAACTAATGAGCCCCAAAGAAAGCCATCAACATCCATCTCTGGATCACCCAGATCTGTGAATGAAAGTGAGGAAAAGATGGACAATTCAGGTGACAGCTTCTATTTCCGACTCCATAATTACAGGCAACAACAAAAGTAGGAGGATTGGAGGTGTGTTCTGCCATAAAAGCCTGTCAATCTTCCATAATTATTGCTGCACAGCAGCCCTGAACACTGAAGCTCCAGCCCTTAGTTATAGTCATGTCTACCATCTAAGATTAAAGAATCATAAATGAGTGTGTGCTGTGTGTGTTCTCTTTGGACGACTTTGTAACTGCTGATGATGATATTGATACGTGCTGGCCACTAATAACCAAACGTCTTACATGTTTTCTCTGGTTATATAAAGTGTTACTGTCAGATAAACACTGTGCTGATTCCTTCCTGCATCCATTTGTTGACTGTTTTCTTAGGTCAAAATGTATGAGACTCAGTCAGTGGAATATAGTGGAATCCTTGTGTTCTTAAACTCGTTAAAACATGTGAACATAAATGAACATGAAGAACTTTACTTTTACATAAGTTTTTTTGTAAAATTCAAGATCCTCCCTCTGATTCAGCAGGTTCAGTTCATGTTATGGGAACAGGGAGTTTTTTTGCCTAATCTTTAGTCTTGACATCACAGAGTAAACTGACTTCTAACCGTTAAATTTTGATTTAACACTTCTTTAGTTTAGGAAACAAACGTAAGCCAATTGAATGTCCTCCTAAGTGACAAAACCTAATATGTGTGTGTGAACTTAATTCCAATATTTGTTGAAATAGATTGTTAAACTAAACACGCACATTATTTATAAAAACAATGACTGGGAACACTAATATGCTCCAAATCTCCCTCCCTGTCTGTGTCTGTGAGTGGCTGCCAAGGAAAACACCCTCCCGACACACACACACACACACACACACACACACACTGCATTCATTTTATCCATGCCAGT